CATCCTTCTTGTACAGACATTCCTGTGATCTTGTATGAGTATTTCATTAGTTAAGGCTTCTGGAAATTTAGTCCCTGGATGTGACATTTACATTCATCACAGGCTCCTTTCAAGTGACTCTAGAAATTCCTTCTCCAGTGGGGAGTGAAAAGATGTAGAATTACTTATGTAACCAATTCTCTATCACTGAATATGATTTCACTTCAGCTTTTCTTCCCACCATTGTAAACAGTGCTGTGTAAATGCCTTGCTGAGTACATCTTTTTGAGCTGATTTCTTTTCTTCTAAACGGAACGATTCCTAGAAGTGGAGTTGAGTCAGTGTGTATGCACGTTATTTAAAGTTTACATATTCATTGACATGTCGTCCTTCAAAAAGTTCGCTCACAGTTTGTTCTCCCAAAGATGGACACTATCTAGAAAATCTTTTACAAATATTTGCCAATATGATGAGCAAAAGTGCTTTTTCAATGTTTTACTTTGCATCTGATGACCAGTGATGTACTGAGCATTTTTCACTCATTTGCCATTTGACTTTTTATAAATGAATGATCCCTTTTGTTCTTTGCACACAGTTAAGTGAGGGAGCTTCTTGTTGCTTTGTGACAGCTCTTTGTATGTTATGAACATTAACTTCTTGTCTTCATCAACAGGTGGCACAGAGCTTTTTCATGTCATTTCTTGCCTTTCATTTTGTTAAGTAGGTTTTTTTATTTTCATTGTGACCCAAAATATAAGACAGTAAATGTCTTCCTTATGTGTTTTATCTTTGGCATTATTCTTAGAAATACTTTCTTATAATGAAATAAATCTCTTTTGTAGGTTTTTTAATCTCTAAGATGGAGATGATAATAGTTCTTGTTATAGTGAGGATAAGTTGAGTTAATATGAGCAAAGTGTTGTATTTACTGTTATTATTACTTTTTAATATTTACATCACTATCTGTAATTTTTCTTGTGGTCATTATGACAGGAATAGAATTTATTCTTTCCAGGTGATTCTCTGATTTTCCCAGGACAATTATTTAACTCATATTTTTCTCTTTGATTTGAAATCCCACCTGTACAAAATACTTATGTACACTAGAGTCTCTTTTTGAGCTAATGGTTCCTTTCTATCAATCTTCCTTTCTTATTCCAGCACCATATATTACATATTGTAAAACTTTATTTAATATCTGACAGTGTGATTTGTGTTTGATTCTTTTCTTCCATCCCAAAATTTCTTGGCCAGTATTATCACTTTATTATTCCTGAAGAATTCAAAAATATTTTGCTCAAGTTAAAAAAAATTCAGATAAGAGTTTTCATTGGATTTTTTAGTAAGTTTTGAATTATATTTAGGAGAACTTACATATCTTTACAAAACTGCTTTCCTCCATGCAATATGTTAATGTCTCTACATTCACACCTCTTATTTTACCCTTCAGTACAGTCCAGTAGTTTTCTTCATTTACAACATGGGCATAATTTTTGAGTTTATTCCAGATTATTGTTTATGTTTTTGTTAATTTTGTAAGTGAGAATTGTTTGCTATTGTATATTCTGACTACTAAAAAGTGACACCTAGAATGGCAGATTCGGTTTGTAAATACTCACTTTGTAACTTGTCATTTAAAATTGGAAGTATAAAGTACTTGTTCCAGAATCCTTTCTTTTCTGTTTTAAAAATTTGTTTCCAAGATTATCAAAATGGTCATAGCTAAGTAGTACAGGTGGGGAGACAGATGGAGAGAGGTAGTGTGGCTCATGTACAAACTTTGAGCAGTTTCATGGCTGCCTTTAGGCTGGAGAAGCCCCAGAAGAACCCAGGTTAGACCAGGGGTGGCTTTGTATGCACTTGAAAGCCAGCTTTCTTGCCTTTATTGTGAAGCCTAGTGGGCGTGGCTGGTAGATGATCAATGTCCGATTAAGGTCATTGGCTGCACAGAGTGCTGTGTCTGTGAGAACTGGAAACCATCGCCATGGGAAATGCTTGGTGCCAGGAACACTGCAGGGAAGCTGGGGAGCCTGTGTGTTAAGGATTTTCCAGTCCTCGGAGTTGGAATATCAGACTCTGCATTCAGATCTGAGTTTGAATTCATCCTCTCTTTTTTACTTGTCCTCTGACTTTTGTCAAGTTATATACCCTCTTTGAACTCCTGTTTTCTTGTCTCTCAAAACAGGAGGATTACAGCCTGCTGCTAGAGTGTTTGTTCAGGGTAAATTATTTATGACTATAAGATGCCACATACAATCACAAGCTCAGTGAAAAATAGGCTGTCGCTTCTTCTGCAACTCAGTGCTCGACAAGACATTGGGGCAAAGCCAGTTCCTAATTTGTATGTGATGCAAGTAGGAACAGAATTAATGTCTTGCCTTTCCCTAGCAGTATTCTTACTCCTTTGCTTCATTAACCTCTTTCCTCCTTTCCTTTCCCTTCCTCCAACAAAAGAGCCTGAGACTCTCTCAGAACACTAGATTCAAATTACTTTAAAGGTTGACTTATCCCCTTGAAATAACAGTGACATAAAAAAATCTGTTCACATCCCATAATTGACTGTATTTGATTTACACACACACACACACACACACACACACACACACACATCAGGCTACCTCCCACTTGCTGAGGGAGAAGGACCACTTTTTCTGAGTTTTCATTCACTGAGCGTGAGAGCAAAGTCTCTTAAGCAGACTTTATCCTGGCTTCATGCATGGTTTTTTATTGGATTTCTCTGTGGCCATAGAATTATTCTCCTATTAGAAGAGGGGAAGTGTAGACATAGAGATTCTGCTGAGACACCGGTGTCATCATATTTAAGTTGTAAATGACTTAAGACTACATAGAGTCATAACTTTTTATGGGTGAGAATTCATGATGGTGTAACTTGGACATAACCTGGGTCTTCTGCCATCGTGTCCACACGGATGAAGAGGCAACTGGGTGTGGGATGTCAGGGATCCTTCTTGCTTGAGTTCCAGGGTCTTGCTAGTTTTCATTGCTCAGCTGCCTTTAGTTTATGTCCATGTGGCCTCTCATGGGAAGGTCACTCTGTCCTGATAGATTGAGTTTCTTATGAGCAAAAAGCTCTGGACCCACTCACATTTCCCAGAGTTTTTCTGCTGACCTGCTGACACTTTATGTAAATGAGAGCTAAGAAAACTACTAGATATAAAATTCTTATTTTTATCATTTGCCTTTGAGTTCCATAAGAATGGGGTGCTGTCTCAGGCTGCCTAGGGCAAGTTCTTAAAAAGATAGGGTGATAGGCTGTGCTGCTGGACATCACAAGTGGAATGAGATTTCCACATTTGTTTTTAGAATCAGGCAGACGAGTTCAACTCTTGCCTTTACCAGTTACTAGCTTTGTGACAGTGAGGAAGAAAGTTTACCTTTTTGTGTCCAATTTTCTTTATCTATAAATAAATTCAGTATTTATTTTAGGGTTTTTGTTTTAGAATTGAATGAGCTAATTCCTTCACTTATACCTAAAATACTGATAGCGTGGTTCTATGCTGGTGCCTTGGTAGTTGATTACTAAGGGAATTGGCAATGAGAATGGGGGTGGGGGGCCCCTGGATCATAGAGATTATACTCCAGGATATGCTTGTAAAAGACTGGATGTGCAGTGGATTTTTAGTAAATGTCCATTCTTTTCCTAATCCCCATTGATTGTATATATATTTATACTAATATATGAACTTTTTTGTTGCAATTTAAATCTCTTTGTAGAATTTAAAATATGTAGCTATAACAAAAATACGTGAAATAAAATGATTTGATTTTTATTTTCCTTTCAATAAGCAAAACAAAAGAAAATAGAAAAGAAAGAAAGTTTTGAAGGACTAGAAATAATTTTATTTACATGGAATCAAGTCTGTATATTAAGTTTTTTGGTTTTGTGGTTAAATGGCATGTAAAATTAATAGGTTGTGACTTCAGTGTTGATAGCTAGGTGAGTTTCTTGTTATTGTTGTCTTTGATGAATTATTTGCACTAGATCATATATGATGTGCATGCTACATATTGGAAATGAGGAAACAGTGGAGACATACTACCTCCAATGTATTTTGTTACCAAGTCCAAACTCGTTCTGCTTGCCGCATGAAAGGCCAATAAATTGGGAGATGAGTGGTTGGGGCAAGGAATAGTGACTTTATTTGAAAAGCTGGCAGGCCAAGAAGACTGATGTCCTGGAGAACCCTCTTCCCCAAGTCAAAATTCAGGCTCCTTTTATACTGAGAAGGGGAGGGGGTGTGGTTGGTTGTTGCAAATTTCTTCCTGTATGAATTGTTTGTCCTTGGTATCCTTTGTTCTTGTAGCTGCCCATTTGGGTCAAATCATGGTGCCTCTGTAAAACCTCCAACAAAACAAAGGTTATTCTCAATTTTGCAACTTGAAAGTCTCTACATAAGTGCAGAAGAGCTAACATCCTTAACGATCAGAGCCCGGAAAATAGGCTGTCCTGTATATTTCAGGCTAAAGGCAACTTTCTTTCACAAAAGGTGCAGAGCTAGCAAGTCTGAGCCTAGAAAACAGGGCACAGGTTTAAAGCCAAAGGAACAGATTTAACACGGAGTCAGATTTCTTCTTTCCTATTACAATTTCTTTTTCCATCTCATAAATAATTTTAGTAAGAAACAAAATCAATTTTTTATTTTTCTTCTTAATAACCGATTAGTGGGCTGACTACATTTTTGTGAGCAGGGATGCTGTGCGGGCCTTGGGGTATCAGCAAACTCCTGTTGAGGGTGGTTGACCCCGCAACATGTCTAATGCCCCCAGGAGTGTTGGTGAGGGTCCCCCCAGCCTGGGGTTCTATTCAGGAACCAGCATATGGGCATTTACCTCTGGAGAACTCTTTTTCGGCTATAGGAATTTTTTCAGATACTGTGACTGAAAAATCACTCCAGCTGGGGATAATTAGGGAAAAAAGGAAGAGGAAAAGTGTTTGGAGTAGAGTAGAAGAGAAATACAGAATATCAGGGAGCCTGGGAGCTTGGCAGCGGGGCCTCGGAAGAGAGGGGAGCAGAGGTGGGCAGGGGCCCGGCTCCGGAAACAGCTCATGCACCTGTCCCCGCACCCAAGCCACACAGCTTTTAATTGGCCTGGGCCACTCTCCTGGCTGGATATCACCCTGGGCAGAACCTTGAGAACTGAAGTTGAGGGGTGGGCAGCACTCACCTAGGGGGTCACTGAGGACTTTGTTCAAGTCCATAGTGCCTTTTCTCGTCATGTGTCTTCACTTGCCCTTTATCTTAGCATCTGAGAAGCAGGAGCAAGGAACTCAGGGAGAGATCCAGGAAGACATCCAACTGTTTTAAGAGAGGACAGACACAGTGACACGGGGAACAAGGACTATCGCAGCAAAGTAAAATGACTTCACAACTATTGCATCAGAGCTGCAGGTGTGAGAGAGCCTAAGTCTGTCTCAGAGTGCAGAGGACAAGCAGAAAGGAATGAAAAAATTTCCACTGACAATTGAAATTTTATAAAATAGCCTGCTACTCTTGGTTGTATCACTTGAATGAATGCAGGTGTATTTCTGTGGGTATTTATAGGTTTATTCAACCCCACCAGCCCCTCTTGCCCTGATCAGGGGTGGGTTTTCTAAAGAATAGTGCCCCTCCTTCTTTGGTGGGCCACGCTGCGGATCATTGCCTGGGGCCGGACTACTACAGGACACTGAGTCCCCAAGGCACGGCCTGCGAGACATGACAGGAACATCTCTGCTCTTGACTGGGGGCCTCCTTTTCCCCCTGCTGTGTAAGAATGCCGGTGACTCAGTTAGAAGCTTGCATCCAAGCCGTCCTTCCATGTCCTCACCATCTAGAAGCGGAGCCTGAATCTTCTGAATTTCTCCAGAATGTGGTTTACAATCACCTTCGAAAAGTGAGTGTGTGTCCTCTTACAAGTGGAGGAATTACTGCCGTTTTCCTGGAACTTACTCACCACTAGTCCATCTGATGTTTCTGTGCTAGTATTCAGTATGGCATGCTAAAAATTCTGGAGTCAGATCTTGAAACCCTGATGAAGAGGATTATTTTATTTCTTTATATGATAGTCTTTACTTTCAAAATTCAGTATTTTCGGTTCTTTCAGGATTTTAGGGGGTTTTGGAGAAACAACTTTGCTCTTACCTTCCTTGCGACCTGTTGCTTTATGCCTCTAACCCGTCTTCTGTCACTTGTTAGGCGGTTCCATTTGTGACCCTGTCCAGGTTCATATTATAAAACATTAAGTCTGTGAAAGTACAGTTCCTTTTATTCCGAAGTCATTTCACAGATACTATTTAAATCTGGGTGTGGTTTTAAGAAGACAACTATTTGAACATGTAATTGTAGGTTGCTAGTGCAAAATCCCCAAATCAAAAGTCTAGCTATATATCTAAAATCTTTCTAATCTACCTTGGATTTGTATGGATAAGTGAAGCAGTTTGCTAAGAACTCAAGACCAGAGTTCAGATAAATGCTGGTTTAGCTCAGCAGGTCCTCCCGAGCTGGCTCTGTGCCAGAGGGCGGGGCTGAGGGGAGAGGGTGGGTCCTGCCCTCCCTGAGCTGACAGTTTCATGGCAAAGACCTTCACCAGGTGAAGAACTTGGAGTTTCTTCTAAGAACAATGGGTTTGAAAAGAGTCTTAAAAGCACGGGAGTGACAGAATCCCATTTGTCTCAAGTAGGGAAGAGCTGCTGGGGGGCAACTGGGAGACTCATGAGTCCATGTGGGCAGTATTGATGACTTCGACGTGAGCGGTGGGACGGTCAGTGGGAAAAAGCGAACAGATTGAAGACATGTTAGATGGTAAAATGAAAGGATGAATGATGTCTGTTAGGGTAGGATGGAGTAAGGCCAGGGTTTCTGGGTGGATTAATAAGGCAAATGATGGTTCTACTGTGCTCTGAGGAGGGAAAGCTGCAGAGGGAGTTCTGGGGGAAAACTGATGAGTTCAGCTGTGGGTAAATGAAAGGCTGTTAGATGTGTGGTCTGGGAGCTCAAGTGAGAGCCAGTAGTGAGTAGGGGGGAGGGGAGAGAGGCAGTCAAATCATTTTGTCTTGTGAATATACAAAAATGTTTGAGTAATACACTTACGCCTGTATATTCTGGATTTGAAACCCATTAACATTTTGCTATATTGACTGCAGAGGTTCTTAATTTTTTAATAGAAATAAAATAAATAGAAGCAAAATAGTGGAGTTAATGAACATCTTAGAGTTGATGTGTGTCCTTGTATGTATTTTGATACTTCATCTGTTTATAACCATAATCAATTAAAAGTTAACTAATCTAGCATAAGAGTTAAACAGAGGGACGTGACACACATTGCTGGGGGTTGAAGCTGATCTCCTTGGGCAAATTATGTAGTCTGTCTGTGCCTTAGTTCCATCTTCTGTGACTGCCCCCGGGCCCCTCATCACAGCTGATTTCCTAGGTTAGAAGTTGGGATGGAGGCTGCTGTAGGGAGTGAGAAGTGGCAAATGCCAGGGACACTGAAGAGAGAGACAAAAACAGATTAAAGCGGATAAACTGAGTACCAACAAATACCCTCAAAAGAGAAAGAATCCCACAGTCTTTTGAGCCACTTACCCTAAGGGAAACAAAACCACGTGGACCCAAACTTCTTGAGAATGTGAGTATTGTGGGTGGAAATGTGTCATCAGAAAAGGGTTGAGACAAGGCCTTTTGGTTTCCCTTGATGTTTCCGGTAAGGATGGACAGCAGATGGGAAAACACACCGCTTCAAAGTGAAAGCTGCTGTTTTGTGTGAAACTGATCAAAGGTTGGAAACCAGTCATCAGCGGTGCTGGCAAGTGAACAGCCTTCTGGATTGGGTGGGGCACCAACTGTGACTTCCAAGTGACCTGCTGGGTAGGGGCTGGGAGATGGCCAGTAGGTCTGCTGGGTGACCTGGGCATAACCCCGGGCTCTGAAGCTGCTGGTCTGACTAGCAGGCCTGGGCACAAGGAGTCTTAATGGGGCAGCTCAGGATGTGGCCTGGGACACCTGCCATGCTGAGGGCGAGGGGAGGGCTACCCTGAGGGGGTGTCCCTGCGGAGAGTGGAAAAATCCACTTGCAGACACGGAAGAGCCTCTAAGCAGGGGGCCAGATGCACCGGCATGACTGGCCTGAGCACGGAGGGTTCGGGGAGCCGGAAGTCATACAGTGGCCGGAGCAGCCTTGTTCCTGAGAAACTGGAGGGAAAAGAAGCTGAAAAGGCAGGCTGCGGACAGACTCTGTGTTGAGTAATGAGTGACAGTTAAGGACTGGTCAGGCAGGCATGAGAGAACCTTGTGGGAGTCCCAGCTGGGGCATCAAGCTGCAGGGAGGAGCAGAGTTATAGACTATGCCACTTATTAGCTGTGTGACTTTGAGCAAGATCACCCCACATCTCTGTATATATCTTCATCTGTAAACTGACAGAGTGACAAATTCGTGTCATCAGAAGGTTTAGTTTAGTTCTGATCCTCTGTGTCCAGTCCAACCAGTGCTGCCCTGCAAGGTTCTGCAGTGGCTGCTCTTACCCTGAGATGGGAGGGCTTGGAGGGACATTGTAGCACACGAGGGCAGGAGGTGGGTGATTTAAAAATGGACATGTAGCCGCCTGCAGCTGCACACCTGCAAGCAGTTTGGTTGATGGTCCTGGAGAGGACTTTGGATGCCTTAGCATCGTCTTAAGACTTGCTTTCCCTTAGAGACCGGAATTGCCTTTGCAGATTAATGTTGAAGATTTTGGCTTCTGGCAAAGCTGTTTTCAGAGATGGGTATATACGTAACATATCTTATAAAATAAAATGATTTTATTTAATGTGTGGGACTTTGCAGCTGTTGGGAACAGCTCTGTTGGCCTGGTCTCCACGGAGGACACTATGGGTCAGCAGAGCGTGCGGGAGGGCAGGCAGCCAGCAGTGCTGCTGCGGGGTGTTCTCCCCAGCAGGGCGCTCTGCTGAGTTGACTCTTCTCTGAGTTTTGTCTTCCAGATGAGCAGACAGCAAAGTAATGAGTTCTGGTGGGATTATATAATGACAGGAAGAAAGAGGAACCCGCAGTTTTCTGGACTAGGGCATGCATTTTGTTCTTGATCCAGTGTGTTTCACTGAGGATTTGATGAGTTGTGTCTGTTCAGGATCTGATTTCGGCTAATCTCTATATTTGGAAAGGAACCGAGGTGGAATTATTGCAGGCACCTTGTGCTTTAGTAAGTCCTGTGCAAACATAAACACGAATTAAGCATACGTTTGGATTTAGTGGTGCAGGGAAGGGTTTCTGCACATTACTGGGGAAGGCAAGGCAGAATTCCTCTTCTTTGTGGGCAGGGAATTGGGTCCACCTGTTTTTTCTGTAACATTTTCTGAGAGCAATTTATGGTAATTAACCAGCATTGACAAATGGTGGCACACATTGCATTTAAGAGCTGGCCGGCTGCAAACTTGTGTATTGGACAGGTGGATTTCACAGGCAAGTGATCAGGTAGATGGGAGAGAGAATAAGCACAGGCATGGGCACCCCAGCTTCAGGTTTAAATCGCCATTTCCGCACCAGAGGAAATTGGAGTAGAATGTAACCTCATTTAACCAGTTGGTGAATCAGTAAAATGGCCATGATAATATTCACTTCTTCCTGGCTTTGCTGTAAGTTGTGTTGACTGAAATAAATGTGCAGCCTAAAAGTTAAGAGGTAAGTTTTGTTTGGTGGGAGGACTCGAGTCAGGATGACAGCCTCTCAGATCGCTCAGAGGGACTGCTCCAAAGAGGTAGGGGAGGAGCTAGGATATATAGGAGCTTTATAACAAAGACCAGGTAGTTGGAACAATAAAAGATTGCTTATTATCTAAAGACAGCCAGGTATCTCAAGTTCAAGAATTTAGTGCTTTTCTATGTATGGCAGGAAGCAAACATTTGGACTAAATGAATTCATTCTTTAGACAAGCACCTAGCTATCTAGGGCCAGAATCCTGTCCTTTCTTTCTCTGAGTGCTCAGAGGGCACCATTGTGAGTGGCTGAAGAGGCTGGGCTGCAGGCCTGTCCTTGCTGGGTGGTGGCGGCAACCGCTGATGACTTTGTTTCAGCATTCTTTGTTTACTAACATGGTTGCATTATTTTCATTCACATTATAGTATTTTCGTTCACAGACTGATTATGGATAATCTGCAACCTTGCAAAGGAACCGAGGTAGAATTACTGCAGGTACATTTTACTTTAATAAGCTGTGTGCAAACATAAACATGGATGAAACATACAAAAGGATTTGGTGGTGTAGGGAAGGGTTTCTGCACATTACAGGAGAAGGCAAGGCAGAATTCCTCTTCTTTGTGGGCAGGGACGTGAGTCCACCTTTGTTTACTCTAGTGGTTTTTGACAACAGTTTATAGTAATTAACCAACATTGAGAAACGGTGGCACACATTGCATTTAAGAGCTGGCTGGCTGCAAACTTGTGTTTTGGAAAGGTGGATTTCATAGGCAAGTGGTCGGGTGCATGGGAGAGAGATGGAGCCCAGGCCTGGGCTCAGATTCAGGTTTAAATCGCCATTTCCTCACCGTAGGGCCTTGGACTAGAATGCAACTTTTCTTAACCTGTTGGTGAATCTGTGAAATGGGCATGATAATATTGGTTACTTCCTGTGATTGTTGTAAGTTGTAAAGAGTATTATGGCACACGTGAAGCACTTAACACACTGGCACTTAGCAGTGTTCACTGTGTGCGGCCGTCCCGCTTGGCGTGTGTCAGAGCTGTAAAGGCAGCATGTGTCTGTTGAGGATGCACTGGTATCCCCTTGAATAGGTTGTGAATTTGGTGATTTCCTTTAATCCTTGTAACTCTGTGTGCCATGGTCAGTTATTTTCATGGACAGATGAGGAATCTCAGGGTAAAGAAGACTGTGTAATTTGCCCAAA